GGCGGCAGTGGGTTTTGGCTGTCTTTAACGAGGGAGAAAAACAGTAACCTTCCTAGGAAGTAATGCTATGGTGGGCCCGGTTGACTTAGAAGAAGCATTACCAGTTACCCTTATGCTGCTTTGGGAAGGTGATCCTCCAGACCTAGAGCTAGACCTGAGGGGACTGAGTATAAAAGAGTTCCTGTCCCTTTGGGATCCTGATCTTTCTTCTGTCTTTTCATATTGCCACTGACTGTTTTGCTGATGTTGTTTTAACCAAATTTGGACAGTGGGAGTGGATATCCAAATGTACTTCCATATTGACAACACTTGAGGCTTGTTTCGGGACAGTCCAACTCTAGGTGGAGTGACAGGCTCAGGATCTCTGTTCCCTTGGCTTCCAGCAGACTTTCTCCTGGATCAGCCAGGCCCACCCCGAGGCTTTTGTGGCACTGTCCTCTGTGCACGTGTTTCTGTGACTTGTTACTGGCTGCACATAGGCATTCTGACCCCTGTGAAATTGTTATCCAGAGCTGAATGCCTTCATGCTCACCTTTGTGATGAAATATCATAAACTTCGGGTGAATCTTACCAATGGCACATTGACTGCAGACCAGGTGATGTTGGGCACTGAAGCTACAGGCTTGATGAGGGTTGTAGGGAAGAAGGGGTTGTAGTGTCCTGTGGCTGCCAAGTACAAAGTCACCGCAATATTGAAGGGCAGAGTGAAAACAGGAAGGTCCCATTTACTGAAGATGGATCCCAAAGCACTGGACAGGATTGGACTGGGAACAGGAGAAGATACACAAGTATAACCTGTTCATTAACATAGTGGTGAAACAGCCTACCTCTTTGGCTGTAAGCCCTGGTAAATGCAAGCCAAAGCCATTCCTTTTAGAAATATCGTATTAGTATGCATCGGACAATTAGTTGTAGAACACTTCATCTTTTTGTAACAATTATCACATCTATTCATGGACGGTACAAACTACAACCTCCTCTCAGCATAGGTGGCTAGCGTGCAGCTCAGGGAGTCAGTGAAGAAATGCATCCAATACAGTCTTACAGTAATTTGTCTTCCTATTCAATAGAAAAATCTCACAAGAAACAACAAAGAAAATTTTGGGAATGCCTTGATTGGTGTTCCTGCTTGTGTCAATGAGACTGATGTTACTGTGTGCTGCCCAGGTACCACCTAAAATCATATGGTATTTTCTGAAAACTGAGCTTAGTTCTTAAGAAACATAACAGAGTATATTCCAGCATGTAAAGTGTTTGGGGTCACCCTCAAAGCATTTAGAGACTGAACAATAAAAAGCATGAAGACCTTGAGATACCGTGACTTTTCCAAATGTTCTTGGCGGTAGAGCCTGGAATGTAAACTTGATCAAATCTGCATTTTTTGGGAAATTTCCAAACTGTCTTATTTCCATTTGAAGTAGGTGTCCTGCGTGAATGACTTTGTGGGAGCATATTGGCAAGGTAGTAACTGTTTTATACAGGCCCCAAAAAGCTTGTGAAAGAAAGTCAGTGGCCAGGTCCTGTCCTTGGTGGAAATGGTCTGTGTTCTGTAGCTTCCAGCTGAGCTATTCTGATACAAATGAGCTGAATAGCTCTTATGGTCAATGTCCAAGTAACAGCAAACATCACACAGTTTACAAAAATCCAATTTAAAGATTTGAATTATTTAAGATACTGCATTGGAGTCCTAGGAGGAGACTTCTGTCTATTAATCTGGTTCTAATAAAAGACCCCACCCAAAATATATGGCATTTCAAAAGCAACATTTTGTGTCCTATTGTGTAGATGCTATCAGTGGAAGAAATGCCTTGTTGTCCCTGTATAATCTCAGATGAAACCTATTCTTTTGTGAAAACTTTAAGCAGTTTACAGATTTCCCTGCTTGTAGATGTAGGAAAAGAAAAAAAAATAAATAAAATTAGAACTTCAGTGAAAACAGCGTGTCCTAATTTTTGTGCTGAAATACAAAGCTTCTGCCAGTTACACATCTTCTCAGAATAAAAAGAAACAATTAAGGAATTGCTGAATTCTAAAGCTGAAATTCAAAGTATCTATTGAAAAAAAATCACTGAAATGTCTAATTTTAAAACCTTTCCGCTCAGGTCTTGTGAACTGAAAGAACGAAGAGAAGTTTGAACAAGAAGCCCAAAGGAATTCTTGCAGGCAAGACAAACTAAACATTCTTGCAACACGTCCGGGGTTTTAAGGGGTTGTTATAAAATGACCTTTGCTGGGAGTGACTTACAGACATAAAATACGAACAAAATCTGATCTTAGAAGCAGCAAAATGCAATAATGACTTGCGTCTTATTGCTGACAGTGACTAAAATACAGCTCTTGAAATAATCTCAGTTAAGGCTGTTAAATAGATTCTGCAGTCCTGTTAGGGTGTGTTTTTAGAAATGGTAAATTAAAGCCTGAAAGGACGTTGTCTGGCATTTGGAGTTACTTGGAGGAATCAATTTTGCTCATGTATGGTTGCATATCTGAAAGTGGAAATATTGAATTCAGCCCGAGAGAGAGCACTGAGTTGGTTCAGCTTCTGGATGAGGAAGAACTGTTGCGATACTGGACACTGTGACATCCACCCCAAATTTGTGCTGATCAGGGCTATTTGCAGAGCTGCTTTATCTGTGTGCTGCAATCAGTGTTGCCTGTGCACTCAACTTCCTACCAACACAAACAATTTGTATCAATGAATGCCTCTTTCCAGTGCCACCATGATTGAAGATGCTGGTGTAGGAGACTTACGATGTGTTTAAGCTGTGTATAGCAAGACTCCTTATTCTCTGAGAATAGACCCTCGGAGGATAAGTGACACTTACCAGGCCATTGATATAACTGTCACAGGAGGAAGAAGCCACCAGTAGTAATCTCCTTTGTCAGAGAAGACAGCCATGAGCAGTCCCACCAAGATCCCATTGTAGCTGTGCAGTCCAGCTGCAATGGCTGATCTGTGATGGAAAGAAATGTTTGCAAGGTCACAAGGTGTGGTGAAGGTGCCCCATCACAGGGTCCCACTGAAATGTAGATTTTAAGTGTCCTGCTCCCTGTGAAAGGACTGTAGGGGAGGGACAAAAAAGCAGTGAGGTTGCTGCCACATTGCAATGCCCTGCTGTGTGGATGGGAAGAGCTTGGAAACTCTTCAGTGATGATGGTTTAGGGGGATCTTTGTGATACATGGTTGTGACAGTAGTTATCAGAAAGAGATAACTATCTGCTCTGACAAAGACAGACAGTTATGGGGACAGGCCAGCTCTTCCTGCACCACAGCTCTGTCCTTACCTAACTGCTTCTAGAAGGAAAGACAATCTGCTGTCTCTAGTACTCAGATGTGTGGTTATGACCCATCAGCAGATTTCTGATACCATAGTGATCAATTTTTATCAAGTATCCTGATATGAAGTACCACCTACCTGTCCTGACTGAGGACAAGCGCAGTCAGTGTTGACACAGTTGTTCCAGTACAGCCCATGAGCATCCACCAAGGTCTCTGGATGAAAAGCCCCACTAAAATGATCAGACCACTGAGAGGGTTGTTGACAAACATCACCTGAGAGGTGCCTCGCAAGATCCAGTCCACCAGCTGAACCATCAGGGGCTTATCTGGAGATGAAATAAAGACACTGGCAACAAGGCATCATTTTACCAAAGCACATCTCTATGCCATCACTTTCTGGCCACAGAACAAAGGTGATGTATCAACAGGATACATCAGATGTATCAAATGGTCTCTGATTTATTGCTGTCTGAGCATATTTTGCATCTGGCACTTGAAAATTTAATAGGGATGGACTGAGCACTGCTATAAAGTTTGTGGAGGGTTGATAAAAAAGTGACTTATGGTGGTGAAAGAATAGTCATACTTGCACGGTAAATTGCTTAGTATTCTGCTATAAATTTAATGAGGATATAGGCCCTTTTTGGTGTATTATTCAGATGCAGAAAGGGACTTAAGCACAGATTAAAACCAGTTTGTACATAGATAGGGAAATATTGAAAGGAAACCATTCTGCTGTTTCAGGGAGAAAGTCAGCAACCCAGAACATGTAGGTACACTGTATATAGGAGATCAGGTCAAACCATCAGAGGTGTCTAAAATGTATTTTGAGAACCAAAGAACCTAAATTAAGGAATTAGTTGTTATAGCTTGGACTGTACGCATGGCAAAGAGATGTTTGCAAAGGGGAAAGAGGTAGTGATCTTTAAAGAATACTATTGAACACGGATGGAGCAAATGGGCACCGAGCTTGGGTACCTCATGTGAGTGCAGGGGGAGGTGGGATATGTACAGGGCTAAGGGCAGCCTGTCTGAAGGCATTTATGTACACTGCTCCTAACGATCTTTGTGGGCACAGGAGGGTTTTGTAACACTTCAATAAGTTTTGCTGCTGGCTCTTCTAGTGCAAATTGACTTGAGGTCTTTTGCTGGCCTGCTTCTAGAAAGGTGTAACCAGATCTGTACTGCTTCGCATTATACAGAATGCACAAGAAAGAGGAGCTGCTTGCATGTACAAAATGTTCATGCAATGTGTATATATGCAGCTTTCATCTTCTTAAATATTCTAAATTAATTCTATTAATTTAGATTGTTAATTAGACACAGCATAAAGTGCCAGATCACTTTTTGAATCCGGGCAGTGACTATTCCTAAACCCTTCCCCCCCCCCTTTCTTTTCTGTTTCCTTGTCTTGTATTTACAGTCAAGGCTCACGTTTTGCTTTATGATGAGGGTAGCTTAAATTGAGGATCTCTGAAGCTCTGGGTATCACTCAGCATCTCTTCAGCATCCCTGGAAGACCCTTCCCAAGAGGCTGGAGAGCAAGTTGAGGGATGGCTTCACAAGCATCCCTCAGGCTGTGTGTTGTTGGAGAGCCAAGCAGTGGTTTGGCCTCAACTGGGGAGGAATAAGTTAAAAATGACCAGGCTTGTGCAAAATAATTTTCACTAATATTTGTTGTTGAGCTATGAAATATATATCAGCAATGCACTTGGTTTTAGACACAAGTATTAACTGTAAATATTCAAAGACAACCAGAGGGCAGTGGCCTGAGCTTTTCAGGTCATTGAATAGGAAAAGCTTTTCTACAAAGCGTGGACCACTGGAGGAAAGAGAAAGTAGTTGGAGATGTTCTCCTGTGGCTTGGGATCATATCACCAGCCTGATGAGCTCCCTGAGAGCCTGGAGGAACCTCAGCCCACCTCAGCCTGGGTGTATGTGGCTGTCTCTGATTTCTCTCCCATTGCTGGAGTTGTACCGCTAACAAATTCAGCCTTGACAGAGGACCCACAGGCTTACATAGCCTCTCAAAGCCCCACATTCCTAATAATCCTGGGTAACACGAACCATATGCTCATAAGTTGTTCCTGTCTGGCCAGTAAACCTTTGGGATCAGTACTTTGTATTTTTATAGCATTGTAACACCCACAGTGCTTATTGCTACCCCAAGACTGGTAATACAAGAACCTTTGCCCACACAATGAAGAGGCACATCCCCATTGTCAGCCCACACGTGGACAAGGACACAGTTGCTGATCCAAAGCACTTACAAAAAAGACTAAATCCCCAGCCCTGATGTGATTCTGGGCACTGCTGTAGGGCACATGATACTAATGACACAGAACTGGTTAAGTGTAAAAGGCATCTTTTGCCTGTGCTGAATCGTGCATACAGCCATGGTAATGGCTTAGAGGATGCAGCAAGATTCCCTTCCCATGGAATGATTTGGGTTAAAAGGCCAGAAGTTTGCAGTGAGCTCAGACTATGATGGCTTTGCTTTGCCTCAGGGGGGTGAAGCAGCCCTTCATCTGGTGCTCCAGCAACAATATAGATGTTCCCAGCTAGATCTTCCTAGCCAGAGAGCCCCAGTCACATCCCTGTGCTTACTTTTCATCCACTCTCCACATTCTTTCATTTCTCCTGTGAGATACCCGAAAACTTGATAGATCCAATTTCCGCTTCTCCCCAGCAGGTCCTTGGCTTTTGACTTCTGTTCCTTGTACAACTGTTTCTCACTGGAATGTTCTGCCACAACGATCTCGCCAAGCTCCATCTCTGTTGGGTGGTGTTAAGAAGTAACTGTAAATCACAAAGCCCATGTGTTAGAAAAACCTTTGGCAACTTTCTGCTGTACTTTAGAGCCCCACAGTGATATGGTTTTCAAAGTTGGGGTGCTTAATGGAGAAAGGACCTGCCTGAACTACTGCTGAGGGTAGTGTGCACTGCTGCCCGGGGCAGGGGTGTCTCCTCTTGAGGATAAGGACAAAGCAAAAACCCACTGCTGTCATGGAGCTGTGGCACAGAGCTGCAGGGTTAAGAAGGATGTGGCATAGGTGCCCTGCAGCATCTTACCCTCACTCCAGCTCCTGACGCAGGCTGTGACAAGCTGATGGTTGGATGGGAGACATAACATTTGCAAAGTAACTGAGAGGTACCTGCATACTGACCAATGCTGCTTGGCCAAGGATAGCTGATGTTGGCAGCTACTGAGGAGGGATCCTGCTGATGTTTGGCTAGCAGAGAGATGGAGGGAAGCAATGCAGATTGCCAGTACAGTAGCAGACAGCAGGAGACAAGAAAATACTAGAAGAGAGGCTGAAACATGTATCCCTTTGATGTTTTGAGCTAATGCCTTCATATATCACAGCAAATCTTTGGCTTTTCCATGCTCATCATTCCACATCTGCTTTTCATAGACAGTCAAGAGCAAACTCGGGTAGGAGGAGCATCCACATGTGACTTTAGACAAAGATAAGCACCTTGACTTAGGGCTGTGTGCTCTTTAGTTAGGAGGTGAATATCCAGCAGAAGTATGGGTTTATTAACCTCCCAATTACAATTGCAGGGCTCTGTTCATTATAAAAAGTCCATTAAGATATAAACCCTTATGAGAAAATACACCGCACTGCACACTTGTGAGCTACGTTGTGGGTTACATCTGCAATCATGCCACCCTGCTCTTTGAGGGAATCTGACGTCAGCAGTTCTGGGTGCCGCCCAAAAGGAGACTGTGTTGTGTAGGGCTATCCCCGTGTTTCGTGGAATATTGGCACCACCTTCTGGTGGGAGCTTGCTTCTTGGTAGCTGAAAGAGCTTGGTTCTCAGCGTTAGAGCCTGTAACAGCAGCAGGACAGGGTGGTAAGGGATGCCTGGGTGGAGGGAAGGCTGTTTTGCAGAAAGGAACACTGACAGGTGGATGATAAAAATAGCCATGGCTGCGAAAGCCCTAATAAGGCCCTTGAGCAGCAGAGGATGTTTTCCTTTCACCCCAGGCAGCACAATGCTGAGTGCAGCCCTGCAAACGCGTTGCACAGCGCTTGCCTAATACTTGGGCTCTCTCTGCCGGCAGCTTGTCCCTACCGCACCAAGAGTCTTTGAGATGACCTTGGCACACCAGCATCAGCCTGCGGCTGGATGCACTGGAGAGTGATGTTGTTAAGTAGAACGGTAAAAGGTAAACCCAAGTTTGCTTCATCCTAAGGGAGAGGAGGGTTATGGAAGGTCGTCTAAAGCAGCCAATGTGGTTGTGCAAGGAGCAGGCACCTACAAAACCTTGCTCATGAATGTGTCATGGGGCTGTGAGCAAAGAGGTTCTAGGGTTGTTGCACTCAGTGCAGGAACAAGCAAGGAACAAAAAAGGAAAGGGGTGTGTGTGTGTTATTGTCCCTCTTCTTTTGCTATCTGTAATCTGCTTCTGGACAGAAGCTGAGTCCAACCCCTGGTTTCAGTTCAAGGCAACCTTAGTGACTGTCATTTTTTGGAAAAAATTAGTGCAAAAAAGAGATATGGAGATGCTAAAGTCTGCTACACTGCCACAGTGGTGAATCTTGGGGCTTTGCAGCAGAGAGGCCTGAGGGGCTGCAACAGCTAAAAAAGATCCTGATGGACACAGTGATCACTGCAGAGGCATTACCCTGGAAAAACAGCTTTTCTTTGCAGCAAGCATCTGTCAGTTGACAGGCTTGTGCTCAGTGGTACAAGCTCCATGAATAATAGAGAAATCATTTGAACAATTATCTAATTAGGGCTAATGAGAGCCTGAATCACTTACAGCACACCTAGGGCTGATGGGGAATTACTTGAGAAAAGGGTCTTTTGTCAGCAAACAGGGATTCATCAGTGTTGTAATGAGCTGTCCTGCTCATTAAGAACATTTATTAGTCTGCATGGTAATGCCTGGTGGTTAGGGCTCATCTCTAGACCTACCTGTGCCTGCTCACTCCCAAGCAGACAGCTGTTATAACATGCTTTTGAGGTACTGGATACTGATAACACAAAGCCTTGTATTTTTAAGCCTACCAGAGTAAGCACTGAGTTTCTGTTTGGCTTGTGCTGCTAGAGAAAATGTCCACAGCTTAGCACTCCGTGCAGCCTGCAGGGATTTGGTGGCCTTCTGAAAAAGAATAACCTACAAGTGAGCTGCGAACAGTGGGATGGTGCATAGGCAGGGCGATGGGAGTGTAATACTCAAGCCAACTCTTCTACAGGGCTTCTGTTTGTGTCCTTATCCTAGGATAAGATTAAGCTCTGAAGCCAAGCCTGGGCAATCTGTTATTCCCTCCTGTATGACAGCATAGAAGTGATCAGAAAAGGGTTGCCTTCAAGGGATGTGGCCTCACAAGGACCTTGAGAAGAAACAGTTTGTAAAAGCACATTGTTCTCATAAGAAACTATGAAAAAATAAAAAACAAATACAGTGTACAGCTAGAGGGCAAAACTTTGGGATGGTGACAGAATGCTTGGCTGAGTCATAATGACTTCACCAAGCAAAGCTCTACCAGGGATCAACCTCCGACATTGAAACCAAGTGAACAAAGCAGGGCATTTCAGAACAGTCACTGAGGTTAAATGCAACACAATTGTAGAAAATAGGTATGAAACCCTTAGATACAGACCTTAAAAGTAATTTTTTTTTTAAAAAAAAAGAAAGAAAAAAATCCACCTAAAAGGAAAAGAATGCTCAAGTAAACTTGTTTCCTCTCACAGGCATTAAATGAAGCCACATACCAGAGCAGCTCTGTCATATCTGTACAAAGACAACTACCACAAAACAGTTACTAATCAGGACAGTTTAACTTATGGGGCTAAATATGACTCTTATATCCTTATTTAGATACTTGGCTTTTACAGTGTGGTCTTGGAGTCTATCTGTGTCTTCCTTTCCCAGTGTGTGTCGTATGTAATGCAATACTTTGCATTGCTCTAAGGCAACTTTTTTTTACCGCTGCTTTTCTCTCTGTTACAGCAGTATTTCCCAGTCCACCAGATGGATGCACATAGTTTATTTAATGGATTGTCCTGGTGTCTTGGGTAGAAATTGTGCTGATACCACTTGTATACAGACTGTACATATGTATATTCATGTGTGTATGTAACTGTGGAGAAGGAGGGTTTGACTTCCTTACCATGACTCTCCTGGATGGTGCTTGTAGAGAGGGATTCATCTTGACTCCTTGTAGCCATTTAAAGGTTTATAGTTTTGGCATACTCTATGGTCAATATAGACTGATTGGTATGATCTCTGGGCAGTTCACCCTGGAATGTCAGACATCATCCTTGGGATGGGATTGATTTCCTTCCAGAGGGATCTGTCTCGTCACTTTAGTGATACAGAGAGGCTAAGATGGGGCTTATGAGGCTAAACATAGGTATCTCCACCGCAAGCATTTGTATCTGAGCAGCTTTCCTTGCCTTCCAGTGAAAAGCTGGTCAATATATGGATCTAGAGCATGATTCATCCCCTCCCATCCTACACAGATGAATCATGTCCTAAATTCTGTTGCATTTGCTCTCTATAATGGGAAAGACAGACAGCTCAGATGCACACAGCTGCACTGCATACATACAGGCAGAGCAGTGATAAATCATAGCTAAGTGACTATCCCAAGGTCATCTGGGAAAGCTGTAGCTGACTGAGGTATCAAAAAAGGACACGTTAATGTTTGAACCAAGTGCCTAATATATGAAGAATTTTCGAAATTCTATCTGTTTTTTTAATAACAAAAGTAGTCAGACCAGGTAGATATTTTAAGACACAAAAATCCTGTTTTCCTGCATATGGTTTCAGTTATAAAACCAGAGGGGAAAACAAATAGAGAAAACATGAAATATAAAAACTGTTGCTTCTAAACAGAATGTTTTTCAAAGGTTTCCATGGGGTGTTGGCTGTTCAGCAAAGCAGACTGTAAAAGAACTTTACAAGCCACATTTATCCTAAGAGCTCCACTTATTGAAGTACAATTCAAACTCTTGTTCTGCTGGCCAAGTTCCATAAATTAAACACTTGTCCAATAACACATACCTCCCCACTTGGATTCTCTCTTTCTTTTTGGTTTTGTGTGTCTATGTCTCTCTCACTCTTTTTTTAAAAAATCCATTGCAAATGGAAACAAAAAAAGGTTTGCTTGTTTTAAGAGTGAGTTTAAGAAATAGACTAGTAAAAGCAAAAATAAGGAGAGAAAAAAGAAAGCAAGTCAACTTTTTAGTCCAGCTGACTAAAATGAGACTTCTGTTTCATTGTTTTACATCTTGGTGACACTGATTTAATATAAGGCTAAATCCACATTGTGAAGCTGTGTGTTGTCAGACATCTAGCTGAAGTAGTGCCTCATTTCCATTACAGTGCACTGGGCATTGGGTGTTTAGAGGAACTAGCAAGGTGACCTGGGAGCTGAGGAGGTGGGTTGGGCCTGTACCCTACCTTCAAAGAGAACCTTATTTACCTCCCTTCCCAAGAGCATTGTGGCCTTAGAGATGTGGCCATCAGCAGGACCAGCCATTTCCTACAAAAGAAGGGATGGCAGGGTGTGAGACATTTTCAGATGGCCATCCTGTCTGACCTGGAGCAGGATGGGTGTGTGGACGTGCCAAGGAACATCCCTGCCAGTAGTGTTCCTGGGTGCACTTTCCCTTTCTCACCTTCTTTCCTGTATCTCTGTGCCATCACCCCTACCCACCTGCAGCTATCACTGCTCTTTCAGTTCAGTCTAGAGCCTCATATCCAGTCTGTGCCTAAATCTTGCAAATTGTCTCTGTATGATGTCTTTTGAAACT